CCTGAGTCCTTAGGGGAATACCATATCACAGAGCAAGAACAAGTCTCCAAAACCCAACCAGAAAGACAAGAATGACGGTTCCTTCCTAACAGACATAGAATTCAAAATTACTATGATAAAGAAATGGAAGAAAACACAGAAAAGCTAATCAAAGAAATAAAATAAAGCCAAATGAGTGCCCTGAGAAATGAAGTTAAAAACGGAGTATCAAGGGCCTCCCTGGTGGCGCAGCGGTTGAGCGCTGGGTTGCGAAGCTGCCCGCAGCCTCTGCAGCGCCAGTTCAATCCCCCGGCTGCTCCCCGGCCATCGGAGGAGGGTCCCACGTGGCGCGCAGACCTCTCCTGCCGCCCGCTGCTCCCCTCAGCAGTGTACTTGGGTCCTTCTGCCTGTTCTGCTCCCTGCTCTGACTCTGGTGAACCTCACCCTCTTGCACTTCTGACTGTACCCAGTGCTTGTATAAATAAATCTTAGGAAAAAAAAAAAAAAAGAAATACTTTAAAAAAAAAACCGGAGTATCAAAATTGAAGATTTAAATTTAAAAAAATGGAGACATGATGTAAAATGATCAACTTAGAAGATATAAAATTATATAAGCAGAATAGATCAAATAGAAGATCAAATCAGTGACCTTGAAGATGACAATGAACAAAGAATTCAGGAGGAAAAAGAAAAAGATACAAAGGGGGGAAAAATGAAGAAACACTTCTGGAATTATGTAGCTTCATGAGAAAAGGCAATGCAAGAATTAAAGGTATCCCGGAAGGGGAAGAAAGAGAGAAGGGAATAGAAAACTTACCTGAAGAAATAATAAGAAAACTTCCCAAACCTAGAGAAAGGAACAACACATACAAATCCATAAAGCTAAAAGAACACTAGTGAATCTAAAAAGAATGAGACCCACAACAGGACAGGTAGTAGTGACACTTCCAAAAATTTAAGACAAAGAAACAGCATTGAAGCTGCCTGGGGGAGAAGCAGATAACCTATAAAGGAACCCGGACCAGGCCTGTATCAGATTTCTCTGAAGAAACAATAAGGGCAAGGAGAGAATGGAATGAAGTGATCAAAATACTTACAGAGAAAAATTGCCAGCCAAGATTACTCTATCCTGCAAAGCTCTCCTTGCTGTTATGAGGGAGGGAGGAATAAAGACCTTCTCACACAAATAGAAGATAAAGTTTACAAACACTAGACCCCTACCTACATTACTGTCCAAGAAATGTTGAAAGAAGCTCTAGTATACAAATTAAAGAGAAGAATATCCACAAAGAGCTGAACAAGGAAATAGAACCATAAAATTAAGGACAAAATGGAAAAGGCAGAACATCACATATCAATCAAAATGTAAAAAGACTAAATTTACCAATTAAAAGATACAAAATAACTGGCTGGATTAAAAACAAAATCCAAGTTTTCCTATTTCCAAGAAATATACCTAGCTCCAAAGATAAATGAAGGCTCAGAATAAAGGTCTGGAAAGCAATGTTATAAGCAAATGAGACACAAAGGAAGGCAGGGAGAGTCATATTTGATAAAATTTCCATCTAAAGACAGTAACAAGACACAGGGATGGAAATTATATAAAATTAAGGAAACAATACATGAAGGAGAAATAACACTCAGCAATATATATGCACCAAACAAAGGAATATATAGGAGGCATTTCCTAGCAAATGTCTGGAAATAAACATTGGGAAAATATTCATGGGAGGTGATCTCAACAATTCACTTTCACCAAAGGACAGATCAACCAGGCAGAAAATATATAAGGACACAATAGCTTTAAACAAAGAATTAGACCACACGGGCTTAACAGACATTTAAGGAACACTGCACCCCAAAAAACCTTAATACACATCCCTCTTCAGTGCAAATGAGACATTCTCCAGGACAGACCACAAATTGGGTCACAGGACAAGTATCAACAAATTCAAGAAGACTGAAACATACCAAGCATCTTCTCTAACCATATAGGTATCAAACTAAAAATCAACCACAAAAAGAAAGCAGGACAAAATCTCTAATATATAAGACTGAACCACACACTACTAAATGACTATTGGGCTAATGAGCAGAAATAAGTGAAACAGAAATCAAAGACAGTCCAAAAGAATGATGAAACAAAAGCTGGTTCTTTGAAAAAATAAACAAAATAGAGAAACCTAGAGCTAAGCTGACAAAGAAAAGAAGGGAGAAAACTCAAATGAATAGGATCAGAACAGAAATGAAAGAGAAGTTACAACAGACATTTCAGAAATTCAGAGGATTATTAAATGATTACTATGTGTACGTACGCTAAGTTCATTAACCTAAAAGACATGGACAAATTCCTAGAAATACACAAATTCAACAATGTACATACTCCAGGTTTAAAATTATGCTAAAAAGCTGTAATTCTGAAAACAGTATGGTAATAGAGGGAAAAAATACAAATAGAAAATATCAATAACTGAGAGCCCAGGAATAAACACACACCTCGATGGACAGTTAATCTACAACAAAGGAGCTAAGAGTATGCGCTGGAGCAAGGAAACACTTCAATAAATGGTTTTGGGAAAACTGGATAGTCACCTATAAAATAATTAAACTATATGACTATCTCACAACATATATAAAAAAATCAAGTCAAAATGTATGAAAGACTTGAGCTTAAGACCTGAAGCCATATATAGCAAAACACTCCACAACATAGGCTTCAGATATCTTTGTGGATTAGTCTTTAATAACAAGGAAAACAAAAGAGAATATAAACAATTGGGACTATAACAAATTAGAAAACTTCTGTGCAGCAAAAGAAACCATCACTGAAACAAGAAGTCACCCTATTAAATGGGAAAAAATATTTGCACATCATACTTCTCATAAGGGGTGGATATCCAAAACCTACAATGCACTCATACAGCTCAAAAACAACAACAACAACAAAAAAAAAAAAACAACAAAGAACCCAATCAAAAAATGGTCAGAAGAAATAAGTAGGAAATTCTCCAAGGAAGAGATATATATGGTCAACAGGCACATGATAAAGTGCTCATCATCACTTGTCATCAGGGAATTACAAATCAAAACCACCATGAGATACCACCTCACACCTGTGAGAATGGCCCATATCAAAAAGACTGAAAACAAGTACTGGGAGAGTATGGTGAAAAAGGAATCCTCTTACCCTGGCCAGCCCTATAGAAAACAGCATGGAGATTTCTCAAAACATTATAAATGGATCTACTATCAGACTCAGCAATTCCACCACTAGGTAGTGGAACTGAAGAAACATTAATTCCAAGGGAACATAAAAACATTAATTCCAAAGGAAACATACACTCCGATGTTCCTTGCAGCACTATTTACAATTGCCGAGCTATGGAAAAAATCTAAATGCCCAAATATAAATCAATGGATTAGGAAGATGTGGTGTACACACAGAATGGAATACTACTCAGCTATCAAAAAAGATAAACTCTTGTCATTTTTGACAACATGGACACAGCTGGAAGGGATTATGTTAAGCAAAATAAGTAGAAGAAAGACAAATACAAGATGGTGTCACTTATATGTGGAATATAGAGAAACCAAGAAAGAGTCAGATAAAAGCCAACTACCAACAAACAAACCATAAAACAACAGACTACAGAAAACTGAGGCTACGAAAGGGAGGGTAGAAAAGTATAAGGAAGAGCAAAGTGATAGGGAGCACAATAGACTGCATTGGTGGTGGGTATACAGCAACAACATCTGTAGGGGGAGATCTTATACATCTATATATCTAAAACACAATGATGTAGACTAATGTGCCCTCAATTAAAAAAAAAACTAAAAAATTGTAAAACACCTAATAATAAACAAAAGGAAATAAGGGTAAAGAAAAAAAATCACAGAAATAACTACTTAAATCCCAAGAATAAATCTTCTAGCAGACTTATTCTGCTAAAAATCAGGATGAGATTAAGAATTACTACATTTCTTCTTAAGGATGACTAAGGAGCAACACAGGTACTTCAACAAGACTTAATTGTGCTCTTAAAAAAAAAAAAAAGAAAAATTGATTGATGAATCAGATATACATGAGAAGAAAATGATTACACTATAACACTATTTTAAGAATTCACAATAACTGAGGATAATAAAATTAGATTTAGATATGACTTTAGAAAGTCAAATTTCAGACAATAATAAAAAGATCTCAGGGCTGGAGACTACAAAGCTGAATATAAGTAAATTTATCCCCCCAAAAATGATATTCAGATTATATAATCATGATTCCAATAAAGAAAAAGGAGAAGGCATCCATATGCTTAGCTTCTCATTTAGGAAATATAATGAAGTGCATTAAATAGGGAAGTAAATGCTTTAATGGCTGTGTTAAGTGTCATGGGACTACTGTATACCAAATGTTTGATAAGGAATACCCAGCATCACTCCACTGTTTCTAATGACCAAGGAGCAGCCAAATAATCTATAGTTAAATGACTGGGCATCCCCTACAGGGTAATACAGAGCATTAAGAGAAATCCCTCAACCTATTCCAGAACACTTACTCTACTATGGCAAGGTCATCCCGGGTGTTCAAGCACAAATTGGAATTAAATTAGGGGAGAACAGCCATCTCAAGGAAGGATCATGTCAAGGAACTTACAGAGAAGGGCAGTGACGGAATAAGAAGTCAAACAACAGGGACTTTGCCTATTTTAAAAGTTTAGTTGTAATAGCTCACAACAAACACACACATGCAAATACACATGCTGCACACAGCATCTAAGTCATAGCTTTATCTCTTACGCATAAATTTCCCAAATATGTCAGAATATGAGCATGAGATTTGGCCTGTCTATACTTGGTAACTAATACCCTTTAATGTAAGTACAATAAATTCAATGATGGTACACATTCATTCGGAAATCAAATGACTCTCTTCAGAACAGTAACATCATTTCAAATTCAATAATAATAATAATTTAACATCATGAAACAAATATTCATGAAAGAATAACTTGAGAACTCACCTTTCCACAACCAAACTGACTGCTTGTGTGAGATCTGGGTTTGTCACCTGGAGTCGTTTCCACAAAGACCATACAAATTCTTTATCAGCCTAAAAGAAATAAAAGATATCTTGAAACATTCCTATATCAGAAAAGACAAGATACTACATTAAATTAAAAATGAAGAAATATGGGCCTCCCCTGGTGGCTCAGAGATTGAGCGCTGGGCTGCAAAGCTGCCCGCAGCCTCTGCAGCACCAGTTCGATCCCGGCCACCAGCGAGGGTCCCACATGGCACGACAGACCTCTCCTGCCGTGCCCGCTGCTACCCTCAGCAGTGTATTTCATTAGTCTGCCTGTTCTGTTCCCTGCTCTGGCTCTGGTGAATTCTCTCACCCTCCCGCGCTTCTGACTGCACCTAGTGCTTGTATAAATAAATAAATAAATCTTTTAAAATAAAAAATAATGACTTGATCCCTAGTTCTAATACTATAGATTATTGAGAATAGCAGGAAAGCTTATTTTTAAAGGTATAATTATTGACTATCACAGAATTTTTGCTCTAAAAGGAGACTCTAGTCCAGCTATTTCTCCATTTTTCAGCTCCCCTTTTCAGTAAACTTGCTTGAGACAGTTGCTAATAACCACTGTCACCACTTCCTCAGCTCTAAGACCCTGCATTATCTGGCCACTACATGCCTCGCCAATTTCATCTATCACTCTCCCTTGTTCACAGGGATCTCTTACTCTACTTGTAGTACGATCTTTGCACACTCACCATCCACCAGATTTTCATGCAGATGATCCCTTAACATCATTCAAGTCTTTGTTTAAATGTCACCTTTTCAAGAGACGTCTCCCCTTGTAGCAAAACCTGCAAGTCTGGGATAACTCCTTACCAAGTTCATTTTTTTTCCATCACAGTTATTTCATTTTTTAATGCAATGTTTATTTGTGTTTACTGGTATGACAGATATATCTATTTGTATCTGCCTCTGTCATCCATTCTCACCTTCCTGTTAGTATCAGAAACCATTTTGGCTCTTCAATGCCCAACTGAAAGACCAGTTTCTCATGCCCATGGGTTATGTAATCACACGCTAGTAATGAAATAAAGAATGTTGTTGGAAAGCTTAAAATTAGACTTACATCTACCAAACGGGTTACAAAATTTTTTTCCACTATGTTGTTGGTTATTTACCTCTATGATGGAGACTGGAAAAAGGTACTTACTAAATTTATATATCTTTATATATCTGAAATTTATCTATTTTTTCCATTAAGGCTTAAGGATTTTACATACCAGTTAGAGAGGCCCTCACTAACCAAAGATTAGAAATATATTTATCATACATTTTCTACTAAAGTTTTTATCTTTTCAATTTTTAATGTGCAAATCTTTGCTATATTTTAACTATTTACTTGTTGGGGATTTTTAAACATTTGATAATTTGAGTACTAGAGAGTACTATCTTACCTAACTATTCCTAAATATCATGATTCACTTTATCCCTTTGGAAGCAATAATTCAGCATTTGGGTATTAAAAAATTCAAGTTATAAACAATATATATATTTACATATAAATCTCATGTTATAACCTTAATGAAGATAAGGAAAAAGCAAGCTACACAACATTATAAGCTCTAACATCTCTATTTTTTAAAGAACTATTAATGAAATTACAAAATCCTTTCAAATAATCATTATCTATAACTCTATTTCATAACTTCCTTCTAAACAAAATAGTAAAGATGCATTTGTATTTTCACCTCAACTTTTCTACCTAGAATACTAAGCAATAAAAGTTATGTAAAATGTGAAACTGGTGTTCAATATATATAATTATTGAGTTGCTTAAATAAATACAATTTATTAATAAAGAAGCTAGCTCTAGAACTGAGAGGGACATAAATCAACAAATATCTGATGAAAAAATCTTTACATTTTAACTTATGTTTTTCCTCTTTTTAGTTATGGTTGTTATTTCACATCTCCTCTTCAACCCCCAGCAAAGAGAACAAAACAAAATCTCTTTAAGCTGTTTTTATCATAGAGGGCAAAGAAAAAAGCAACCAGAAGACTCCCTCCACAAACACTTCATGGTTGTTAATTTATACCCAGTAGTCATTTGGGGGAGACCCTTCAAATTTCTAAATTTCTTTAGTTTAAATTTGTTATTAATTTTTTATTAATAATTTATAGTTAGCAACAGTATTTAGACTTTTATATCTAGATATATAAGCATATAAGTGAGACTTGATTTGGAGGGAAAAATAATTTTCCTGGGAGCAGTAAAAGGCTATAAAGAGATTGTAGGATTATGATATACATGAATTTTTGGTTTTTATTTAAACACTGCCTCATTTGACTAATACTACAATTATTAGACATAGAGAAAAAGAAATAAAGATGTCTCCCAAAATGCAAAACTAATTTCCAAACAATTCCAGGTATTACCAAAACAAAGAAACTAACTATTGCCAATCACATTATTCATACTTCCTCTTCCTTTGGCACTTAAGTTTTTTTAAAAAATTAAAAATAAAACCATTTTAAATTATGCATAAAATTATGCTTACTCTAGCTCTAGCACCCAGATTCAAATAATTTAAGATTTATATTTAAAAAATCATTCCACTCCTCACAAAGGTTATTAAAATTAAACTCAGCCTATAAAAAGGATGACTAAATGCTAAGAGATTCGGGTATAAATTATTTTTGCAGTGGACTAACCTTTGCTTGCACTTATCATTTGGCCTAGATCAACCTGACAAACCAGAAACCCACAATTGCCTTTTCACTGGATACCTACTCTCCTAGCTCCTAGTTTACCTGGGAGAGAACTTTAGCAACATAACAGACCTCAATCGACTCCTACTGGAGCAATTAACTCAAAAATCATAAATACTATTTCCTACAGTTAAATAATTTGCCTACTAGAATTCAGTGGAAATAATGGAAGGAGTTTAATTATATGGAATGTGTAGTGCCAGCAAGCACAGGGCAGGTTCTCTTATCAATTCAGGAAATGGGTAAAGGAGAGTCCTGGAGATCTCAGCAGGTTTTTCAGCCTTTAATGCTCTTTCTATGCCAATTATCATGGGGCAAGTCCACAGGCTGGCAAGGTAGGGAAACCAGGGGACCAGGAGGTTGGGAGGCCTCTCAGACCCAGGTAAATCTTTACTTTTTCTGGGCTCATCCTCTAGTAGCCGTTCTCCACCACCGTCCTCAGTTGCTCTCTGTTCTCTGAATGACGCTACCCTTATAGGCTCAGCCTCCAGCCTCTGATGTACCCACTTATGCATGCCCATACCACATTCCAGGTGTCCACCATAGGCATGATGCCCTGGGCCCACGTTCCCAAGCGCCTCCTGCATTGGCACAATCAAGACCACAGGTGATAGCCACAGAGGCCAGCAGCGCAAAAGCCTGACCATTTCACCCCCTACAGTATGGCACAAAATAGCCATTCAATAAATTATTATGAAAAAGAGGCACAAAAAGATTTATCTATTATATAGCAACTCACAATATGTCCCCCTTTTTTTTCCTTTGTGCATGACTGGACAGTTTCTAAACCCATAAATGCCTAAAAAAATTTTAACTTCTGAGTTCTCTGGTCATAACTTAAATCTAACAATACATGCTTCATGAAAGTTTTATCACTAAAGTTGGAAAAATGAACATATATTTCATTTAAATACCCTAAATAATTTCTCACCTAATATTGGTTTATTGGTAGTAAATAATTTTGATTGCTATTCAAAAAGGAAAAAAATTTGGAAAGATATTGTATATGTGTTCATACAATAGTTACGTTAACATCACTTTTTCTCATCTGATACTCTGCAGCTAATAAATGTGCATTTTATACTGCAGCATCCTCTGTGGAAAATAGAACACATTCTTGAAGTACATAATCAAAATTAAGAGTATGCTGAAATAAGGTTCTAAATCTATTAATAAGACTTATGAATTTTTATGAATTTAAGTCTTAAACGAATTTAAAATACCCTTTCAGCACATTCTTCAAAGTTCCTTAGGAAAAAGCTACATTTGGAATCTAAACAATCCTCAGTAAAGATCAATGCAGACAGTTTTTCTCCTTCATATTAAAATTACTTTTTTCCTCAACTAAGGATTATTTGTATGTTACCTGATAACCTAGAGCCACATGAAAAATGTTTAAATATTACAATCACATGGAGTAGGATTAGATGTTCATGTTAACAGAAACACTTGGAATTGAGATTACACTCTATAACATGCTTATTCTGAGTCATTCCAACAGAGTGGAATGATATATGGAACCAGAGAAACTTACTTCTTCACCAAACACATATAACTGAATTCATGTATGTTAAATGGAGGGGGGAAAATCCATTAATCTAAATTAAGTTACTACTTATAACCGGGCACTAACTGGCAGGTTTATTTTTTCCCAAACTGTACCCCTGACCCATTAGGTTGCTTGTGAAAATTAATTTTGTAAATTCAAACAGCATATTCTTAAGCAATATAATTTATAAGAAATTACCAGAGTTAATGATACATAGACTAAATATTCTTTCAAAAATTATATGTATGTATATATGTATACTTATTGAGAAGCAAAATAAATTCCTTTCTTTGGATTGCAAATTTTAAACAGTTTGAAAAACATAGGGTTAACATTGTGTACTCTTGGATATTGCGATTGTTAGCTGAATAAGTAGAACAAATTTTAAAAATGCATTTTTACAAAATATTTAATACAAAATATTTAGGAGTTCAATTATTATTTCTCCCAAGTAGAAGAGCAAGTATGTTAAACCAAGAGCAGTATCGTTTAACTGAAGGTTTATGGTATGGGATAATAGCAGCCTCATCTCACATTACTGGAATGCCTAGAATCACCTAGCAGTAACAATATTACCAAAAAAACTCAAGATTTCCTAGGCTGATTATGTTCTAGGCTAGTTATGATGCCCTATATTCTTACATCTACTTAGAGTACTTCAATCAGCTTTCTAGTCCACTTATGTACAAGGTCACAAAGGCCAACATCATGTTTGGAGTAACTTTTTTAAAGAACATAATAGGGAGCTGATTTGGAGATGTGAGATCTTGGGCTGATTACAACAGACTGATTTCCTTAATCAAGTTAATCACAAGAAGTAAATGTCTCAGCTCCTGAAGCAGTTAAGGGCATAATGATGAGAAACAATGAGCAAGAGGTTGGTAAGAGAGGGTGCAGAAGAAATGGGCAAAGAGCATCTTAGATTAGGACTTGTCAAAGTAATAATAAAGGCTTTTATCATGGGCTTGGATATTAAAACTAACCAAGAGTAAGGTGTGCTGATGGCAAAATGTTTTCGTTTATTGGTGACTTTATCCCTTTGCTTCATAACCAGAGAATAGAAAATTAAAAAGAGGCAACCACATGATGCCTCTCCAAATTATTTAAGAAAAGGCAAATTCAACTTTAGCAATAGTGTTCTGTTTTTTACAGCCTAGACTCAGTGAAGGACCTACAAAAGGGCAAAAGAACACAATAGCAAAAAATATGAGAATGAATTTGTATTACTTTAAACTAATGATACTCTTTTAGTTACTTTGGTCTTTAGTAGTCCCTAACTGAGTCTACCTTGAAGACAACGTGTTTCAAAGATCTATTGTTAAGTGAATCCCCAACATTTAAACTCGATGCTATCTAAAGGTGAGGCTGCTAAACTAAAGGAAAAATTAATCTCTGCGAGCCATCTTACTAAACACAAACTCTAAAAATAACAGGAGACTACTGTCAACAAAACTGATTTAGTAACTGCTTTTCCCTGACGACACAAAAATGAGATTTCTCACTCAGGGACTAAGGAATTAGACTAACTAGTCAATATCAAGTATCAGGAATCATCTACTGGGTGGTAAAGTTCCCAGCCTGAGACTCCCTCAAAATCACTGGCCAGGATTGACAACAGAAGTTTGACTTGACTTAATAAGAGCAAGTGTGGGTTTAAAAAATTAAAAGCAGGCTCATTCATCCATGGATTTTAATTTCGTGTTGACACTTTTCCTGGTGAACATTTTCAGCTCGTGGGCTGCACTCCACACCTGCTGCATCAAGTTCCACTACGGTCACTACCAAGCTCTTGGGCTCCTGGGAGGCTAGGGGGTACGCCAGCGGGTTCTGGGGGTTGCCAAGTGAATAAAACCAACCCCGGTGCACTGAGAGGGGAACCCCGCTTGGCCCGTGTCCTGCGAGGGATGGGAACCCAAGTTCGGGGAGCCGACCGCTGCCTTGTTCCTCCAGCACCGAGCAGCGGGCCGGACCTGGGTGCGGGAGTAGGAGGGACCGCCGCTGGCGGCGCTGGGTGGGTCCAAATCCGCGCAGCGGCTCAGCCAAAAGCCGAAGAAGTGGGGCGCACCTCCCCCCCGGCCTCGATGCCGCTCCGCTGCGGAGGGGACAGGCCGGCGGCCAGAGTCCTAGATACCTGACACAGGGCCAGCTCCTCCTTTAGGCTGCTCAGCTCTTCCTCCAGCAGCTGCGTCCGGGTCACCATCGCTTCCTCTACCGAGATGCCCTCTAGCGGCCTGGACCCCACAGGCGCGCTGAGGAGGGGAGCCTGAGCTGCAGCCGCCCGCCCCGGCCCTCGCCGGCCCCCAGACCCTTCTTCACCCCGCCAGGAAATGTCGCTTTTGTCCACGACGCCCTCCCGCGCCGCGTCCGCAAGACCCGAGGCCTCGCTGCGCGCTGCATGGACCACAGTTCCCCGCCCAAGCCGTGGGGACCAATGCCCCAACTCTCGGGCCGGGGCCGGAGGGACCGGTGAGGACGGCGGGAACGGGGAGGATGACGAGCGCGCCGCCATGGCCGCGGCTGCTAACGGGTCAAGTTCCCTCTTGGAAACTCCACCTCCCCTTCCCCATCCTGGCGAGCGCGAAGCTCCGAGCTGCGCATGCGCGGGTCTTTTCCCGCCTTGGCGCGCCGGGTCTCGCGCTCGCTGGCCCAGGAAAGCTTCCCGCCGCGGGCCGCGCGCCCGGCGCGAGTGTTTGACTGCGCACGCGCCGTGGTCTTCAGGCCGCCTCTCAGGCCCTGAGTGACTTTCCGACTACCTAAAATCCCACCCGCCACTTAGCTCCTGCGTTACATTCCACCTCTTAGGGTCATCCTTGACAAGTCCCTTGCCCCAAATGATCCCTAACTGTGAATTCCTCCGCCTTCGAGATCCCTGCCAACTCGTTTGTCACGTTTCATTGACCGCTCTGGAGTGTTAGGTCCATGACTAATCTCTCCAGCACTGTGGTCAACTCCTTGAGGATCAGGGAATAAGTTTTACACTTAACTGTTTTATTCACACTCCTTAGCAATACTGCTTCATGTACAGTTGACATTCAACTGATTGATAACAAAGAGATGCAGGAAGCCTTGTCTTGTGCTGAGCTGGGACTAGTAGAAGCAGTTTTCCCATTTGAATTATGATTCTTCGTACACTTTTATCAAGGGTGCAAGAGTCATGATCTTCTTTGAGTTTTTGTGTCAGCTTCTTTATGCATTGGTTGAAGAGGAGAGTGTGACCCACACTGCCCACATTTTGAATCCTTGGAAAAATTTGAAGTCAGCTATTTGGAAGGCGATTAAAAAACAAAACCAGCTTTCTTTATCCTTCATCCTCTTTTTTTTTTTTCCTGCCCTCCTCATTTTTTTGCTTTCTTTTTCTTCCTTCTTGCTTTCTTTATAAATTTATGACAGGTAATAACCTCCTTCTTTGTCATAATGCATCCTACTTGTGATGACTTTAGTGAAATGTGTGTTGAGCTTGCATTGCGAGTTCTACCAAAAGCTAGATCTGCTCTCTTTTACAGAAAGGGTTGAGTTAAAAAATACTTGGAGGACTGCAGAAGTAGGGAGGTGATTGCTTTATCTGATGACCTCTTCGTTTAATCAAAATAACCTCTCTATGCCAGAATCTAATTAGCAGGTCAAAGAGTCCCAATTAGAATCCTATGAAAGCAGGATGAGAGGGCTTCCCTCTCTCTGAAGGTGAACACCTCACAAAATTTATAGAAGATTAATGTTAGAAAAGTACATATAAGCTTCTCTTAGAAGTCACTACCTTGAATATTTACTAAATGCTGATTCCAGTGCTAAGCACTTTGCATATATGAACTCTTTCAATTTTTACATCATAGTAAAATAGATCTTATCCCCCATTTAACTAGTGAGGAAACTGAGTCTTGAGAAAATATTGTATCTTGCTTAAGTCCCACATGTGATATCAGAAAAGGTAAACTATGAATCCACTTAACACTAAGACCTGAGCTGTTGATACCTACCATTACTCCATACACGTAACTTGAAGTACAACATTAGGTCTAATAGCATGTGTGATTTCACTAGGCTTGAAAATGGGATTTCTAATCTCATAACTTTGTAAAGGATGAAATTTTATCCATTATGCATAATGGATAAATATACTTGTTTGACTCAAAGGAAGGAAAATATCCTAAATCTTCGAACACGTAGAATTTTATTTTTTTTTCTTTTTATGACATGTAATATAAAATTTACCATGATAGCCATTTTAAGTGCATATCAAGAAAGAGTAATTCAGTGTTATAAAACATATTCACAATTTTAGGTAGCCATCGCCACTATCCAGTATTTTTTACTTTCAAGAGAATATTGCAAACATATTCCAGCCTTTTCATCTATTTTTATTCCTCTGATAACCCAAATATTAATATCTTCAGCCTTTTATTGTCAATGAACTGGTTCAATAGCTCTGTCTTGATGATGCTTACCTATGAGTAAGCATACACTAGTACATCATATGCACTGAGCAAGCATACGTGTGTGAATTTACATACATATACACACAGACTTACTTATTGGTATTTTGCTTTTGATAGCCCAAAATTGCATGTCTTTAGTCATCACTGCTTTGGCCTAATAAAGTGGTAAACAGCACTGTTTCCCAAACCAAGAGATATTCCTGATGTGTCGCATATCTATTTATGATATATACCAGATTTTCAATAGCAGCAGTCAATCCCAGGCTTTTCTAACATCCTTAATCCCTGTCAGTAGTTGGCTGTTTTGTCATGCCTTCCATGTTAACAGTAGGGGAGAATTTTTCAAGTGGCTAGAATTATGGAAGCCATCTTAAATGGCAAAATCAATTACCCATCTGCCCATATTATTTAAGTAACCTACAGAGAGGAACTGGTTCCAGACTCAAGAATGAGAGACACACATGTCACCTCAACTTCAGACATTCAGATTCTAATTCCCTTCCTGTTCGGCAAATTGAGCAGAGTCCCAGCAGGAACTTAACGACAACTGATAGTGAGTACTTTAAGGAATGATTAAAACAGAGACTAATTACAAAAGTAAGGGTAGGTGTGAGGGAAAGCACAAGGATAGTGCTGTACCCCAAAATTAATCAAAGGACAGGAGATGTTATCACCAGAAGCTTGAAGATGTAACGGAAATGAGCAGCTCCATCATACTAGGAAACAGAAAGATATGTATGAGAGAGCTATGTAGAGAGAGCTGCCTGATAAGAGGCAAAGACATGCGATCCAGAGCCAGTGGAACAAAAACAGCAAGTCATTAAGTATGTCATTTCTTTCACTGTATTTTCATTGTTAATGAGAAAACAGTAATCCCAGTTGACATTGAATTAAATGGTGTTACTTAAGGACCTGTTTTCATTATATGTCTTTTTGTTTAAAGTCACAGTTTCCAAGAACTTAACAACCCAATGACCATCTTAAAGTAAGCATTCGCTCTACCCACACTCATATGCAGTTCTTTTTTTTTTTTTAAAGAGGCATGTGTTTTTATTTATTTATTTGTTTGTTTATACATGCACTGGGTACAGTCAGAAGCGCGGGAGGGTGAGAGAATTCACCAGAGCCAGAGCGGGGAGCAGAGCAGGCAGAAGGACCGAAGTACACTGCTGAGGGGAGCAGCGGGCAGCAGGAGAGGTCTGCGCGCAATGTGGGACCCTCCTCCGGTGGCCAGGGAGCAGCCGGGGATCGAACCGGTGCCTCAGAGGCTGCGGACAGCTTCGCAACCCAGCGCTCAACCGCTGCGCCACCGGGGAGGCCCGAACCTAAGCAGTTCTTACAGCTCAGCCCACCAGGACACAAAGCATGGTAGAAAAACATCAAAAGAAAACATGGAGGGGTTAATAGAAGGTATCAAGTTCAAAAAGCCAGTGTAGTCCAATAAGCAACACCAGGGACATAGTTTGTATAGCATCATGTGATAGCCAATAAATGATGTAAAGTAATAATTGTCATGTTTTTTCTCTGAAGAGGAAATGCAAATGGCCAACAGGCATATGAAAAAATGTTCAACATCACTTGTAATCAGGGAAATGCAAATCAAAACTACCATGAGATACCATCTTACACCAGTGAGAATGGCACATATTAAAAAAACTAGCAACAACAAGTGTTGACGAGGGTGTGGAGAAAAAGGAACTCTTCTGCACTGTTCGTGGGAGTGCAAACTGGTCCAACCACTGTGGAGAGCTGTGTGGAGATTTCTGGACCTACTAAACATAGAGCTTCCATAGGATCCAGCAATTCCACTCCTAGGTATTTACCCAAAGGACACAGAAACATCAATTCCAAAGAACACCTGCACCCCTATGTTTATAGCAGCACTATTTACAATAGCTAAGCTTTGGAAACAGCCCAAATGCCCAAAAATAGATGACTGGATTAAGAAGATGTGGTACATATATACCATGGAATATTACTCAGCATTCAAAAAAGATAAACACATGCAATTTGCAGCAACATGGATGGCGCTGGAAGGGATCATGCTCAGCGAAATAAGCCAAAAAGAAAAAGAAAAATACCGGATGGTCTCACTCATAGCAGGAATCTAGAAAACTTAAATAAGGGACCAGAAAAATGAATAACTATAAGAAAGCAAAAATCAAAATCAACAAAAAACTATGAACCAGAGACACTTTTTGGGGGTGAGGGGCGGGAGGGGAGGGATTGGGGTCAGAATGGGGGGGTTGCAATTGTATGGGGAATATAAAAATAAAATTTATTATTTAAAAAAAAAAAAGATGCTGGGGACAAGGTAACTCAAGTAACTTTATATGACTTCTATGACTATAAATGTATTATATCTGATATTCCTACTCCTATTCTATTTGCTACCTTTTGTTTCCATTAAGTGAGAAAGAATAAAAATGACTCTGAATTAATAAAGGCAAAGTTCTTCACATCCAAAAAAAAAAAAAAAAGTAATAATTGTCATGTTTTTCACATGGCAACTAATTGGATATTAACTTACTATAAATTCATAAAGGAAAAAACCAAATCAAATGTTATAAAAAAGAGGGAACAATACTGGAAACACTTAGGTAAAGATTTCAGGGCTTGTGAATAGAAAAACACCAAAGGGAATGCATCTGTTTTCTTTATTGCCTTCCATTCTGCTTTAAAACTTAGTTTCCAGAAATTCTAGATCATTCTAAGTCAACTGCTATCTATATATACACCTACATATCCAAAAGTTAATATTCAATTTGCATTTGTCTTATATCTTACATTTCTCAAAATTTTATAGCCATTCTCACATTTTATACATCATAAGATTTATATCTCAACATAGATTACAAGATTCTAGAAAGCAGAAAATGACTTTTCAATACCTATCACAGTATCCGAACATAAGAAGCACTTGAGAGAAATCCTTCAACTAGTCACTTGTAAACCGAGATAGTCTTGCCTTCAGCAGTCACCAGACATCCCTAATGAGCATTAATTATTTCACTTCAGGACTGTGTTCAGAGTTCCAGTCTGAGATGACTAGATCACAGGAATGCTAACTATTATTGGAGAAGAAATAAGACTGCTGACTGATAGGTAAATGATTCCTGCTACCAAGAACATTTCTTTTACCTAAATACTACTTCC